TGGAGCACCTCTGCTACGAGGACAGGTTGCGTGAGCTGGGATTGTTCAGCCTTGAAAAGAGAAGGGGGGACGGACGGACCTAATAGCTGCCTTCCAATACCTGAAGGGAACTTACAGGAAGGCTGGGGAGGGATTTTTTACAACAGTGTCCACTGATAGGACAAGGGGAAATGGGTTTAAGTTGAAGGAGAACAGATTTAGATTAGATCTTAGGAAGAAATTCTTCAGTACAAGGGTGGTAAGACTTCGGAATAAATTGCCCAGAGAAGTTGTGGATGCCCCCTCTCTGGTGGTGTTCAAGGCCAGGTTGGACGGAGCCTTGAGTAGCCTGATCTAGTTGAGAGGCGTCCCTGCCCATGATAGAGAGGTTGGATTAGATGATCTCTAAGGTCCCTTCCAGCCTACGCCATTCTATGATTCTATGAATACACGTCAGCTTATGAGAGTTATTTGGTGGGTGTGATGAAAAGTCATTCCAGTCTACTAGAAAATTGCCCAAACCCAGTGATTTGTTTGACACAGACCACAAATATTGTCAGATGACATCTTCTTGTCACTGATACTGATGAGGTCAGTGCAAACTAGATTTGAGTTAAGTTTTAGTAACTACTACCTGTTTTTTACACTTAATCTTCGCCCACCTCCCCACTTTCTCCTTTCAAATAGGACCAGAAGTGTCAGCACTTGTTCTTGAAAGATACTGCACTGACTTCTTTGGTCAAGAAATACGTCAGTGTTCGAACATCTGGCTGTCTGCAGGACACTGATTTTTATTTATGTATTTTTTTAACATTCACTTATCACCAGCCACCAGCCCAATGCATATGAATCACTGAGCTGGAGATGAAGAATCATTGTGTCACCTTCCCAACACCACACAGTATGCCAGACTTCAGTTATCTCACTACAGCACTTGCACACGCCCCGCTTAGCTTTTTGTTGAGCTCCTTGGCTTTGCCAATAATCTTCTTGTAATCCATAAGTTATAAAACAATATTTCAGAAAAGAAGTTGAGAAATCCAAATTTTTATTTGATTTCTAGTCTAGATCAGGTTACCATTATATGCCCAAAGGATTGCTTAATTAGATTTAAGAGTAGTAACAAAATAATGATAGTAGTTTATTTTATTTGATCTATCATCACTGGCTGATAAACAATATAATCTAAATAAAACATGCTAAAGATTTAAGTTATTTTGGTTTAAAAAGGGGAGTTTGCAAACTCTATTACTAGCAGACAGTTCAGTGTTGAAAGTTGTCTCTGAGGAATGTAAGATTAAGTGTGATTTTCCTTGCAAAGAATAACACTTTTCTTTAAATCAGAATGTTTGGTAATTCCATAAAGGACTACTATATCTAAATACCTATGCGACATAGTTAAAAGCAAAAGAGAACAGAGTTAAACAAAGTGTATCCTTTAGAAATTACAGGAAGCAGACATAAACGTCAGGATCTAGTGGCTCTAATACCATCAAGCTCCTCCTGCAAAACTGTATTTCAGGATTACAGGAATACTGGAATGTGGTGCTTTTGGACTGAATAATTCAAATTGGCTCTCACCTTAGTAGCAATGTTTGTGACAGTAAATGACTTATGGAAAGCTGGACCTAGAGTTCAGGCAGCTCCTGCTTTGTATAAAGGCTTACAGAAAGAGGCTCTGAGAGAAAAATACCTTAATTAATATCACATACTTACATGGAGTATGTTAGTGAGGCTCATCAATCGGGAAATGGCTGCATTGAACAAATGATCCTTTGTGAAGTAGTCTGTTACCTGTATTAAAAAAAAGGTCTATCACTAATTACTTCAAATTCTCAAACATGGAATATTGGGTTTTTAAATTAAAAAGAATTATTGATAATCAATTTTAATTTGTGAAATATGGCCCTCTTACCTCTTACATGAAAATCACTTTGGCATGCAAACACATCATATGTGCAATCGGATGTGTGTATGGGAAAATAATAATCATAAAAATTCAGTTGACTAGCTTCCCCTCTGTTTCAGGATTTTAAAAGCTTCAATCAATATCACGAGAACTGTGTATTCGTAATCACCCTCTATTTAATAAAATATCTTTCTTTTGCCCCTACAAGAGGCCTTCGTACTTGTAAATCCAGTTTTGCTGGTGAAAGCTTGTCTACAGATTGCAAGATTATAATTCTAAAGTCTGTTAAAAGATCTGGAAGGTCCCTCACCACATAATCAGAAAAGGTTTTTATCCATAGAAAAATATTTTAAGTTAATTTTGCAGGTATTTATGTCTTCTTCTGAATCTTGGATGATTGGATTGACGCTAATCACAGTATGAGACAACACATAAGAAGAGATGACAATCATTTCAGTATTTTTTTTTTAGGATATGCTAATATAGTTTCACCAACAGCTTTTTTTCATTCTATATGAAACAGCAGGCATTATAATGAGGTGTTAGGCAAACAGATCAAAAGCTTTTGTTAGGGATAACTGGCATAACTCACCTATAGCTTTGCTATTGGAAGTGGAGTTACTTGAAACGCAGACTGGTAAAATATTAATGCCATATCATTTCATCCCTTAAATGAGGCACACGGCAGAGAAATTTTGCCAATCCAAATCTTAGTACTTTGCAAAAAAGTTCTGTCCCATCAAATTTGCAGGTAAATAAAATTACTTATACAGAGAATAATTCATTTAGAAATTATGAGCTACTCATCTGGAGAAAAAGCTTTTGGCTCTGTAAGTCAAGCATACAGTTTTAGCATGAACAGCAACTTATTTAGTCATTTACAAACTATGTAAGTGTTTCTTTTAACCTCAGAAATCACCAGATTCTTCTGCTCCCAGATCTTTCTGGCTTCAGCCTTCTCTTTCTTATTCAGAAGCTCAGGATTGGGCATGGTTCCTGAAGTCCTTGCTTCAATAATTTTGGTTACAAGTGCCCAGAGGCGTGTCTGCCATCTCTGAACACCTGGCATAGCATCAGCTGAGATTAATGAAAGATTGCAGAAACAAATTTCAGTTACAAAAAATGAATCCAAAACTTCAAAGAAAAGCAGAAAGGAAACTGAACACTAGAGTTAAACATTTTTTTTTTAAAACTGTATTTTAAATGAAAAATGTCAATGCAATTAAAAATTCCTTTACAGATAATGCTGGGTTGCTTTAATAGAAAGAAATCTATAAGATAAAACAAAAAGTATATTTCTGCAATGACTTTAAAACATACATACAGCAAGAATATTTGCTAAACCTGTAAAATAATGCAATGTTATGTCAATGTTAGAATGCTCATCTCGTGTTTTTATGACTTAATAAAACAGTTCTACATGCTCTCATTTTTCAGACTCACGGAAGAATACAAACATACATATATACAAGAATACAAACATCCATACACACATGTATGGGTACATTTTTTTTAAATCAAGAAGTTTCTTCTAAAATTTTATTTTAGCTTTCTTAAAAAAATGTTTAACCACTAAGCTCTAGTATACTTTGCAAGTAAGATTTTGTACCCATGATTCTCACGCTAATTTAATTAGTCCACTTTCAAGATGCAAAAATACAGCAAAAAGATTGTGCATCACTGAATTAGCTGCTTCAGAGTGAATTATGTACCTGTGTACTGTTAGGGACGCAGCAGTTAAAGCTTGATTCCAAGTGGTTGGGTTTTTAAAGAGATCTTTTTATATGCCTAGCTCTGTACTGTTGTGATTAAATGGTGACAGAAAGCCAACTGAGAAAAGTCATAAAGCCCACTCCTTGAGTACATACAATAGTGCAAGAATATATAAATGAACATATATGAACGTAAAGGATGACAGACACCAACTGAAATAATGCTTAGTGCAGGCTCAACTAAGAAGCAAGAAGCTAACACAAGAAAGAACAAAGTACACTTTTTTAAACCAAGCATGGAGTGTTTTATTAAAGCCTTATGCAACTAGAGGGCTAGATTTGAACGCATGCATAAGACTACATTAAAATGTATGAACCACAGTAGATAAAAAAATGAAGACCTGTCAGTATGACAAATTGCATGATGGCAGTAAATAAGTGCGTAGGAGGGTAAATCTTAACTTACTCAAGAAATAAGCTCATACAAATGTAATGCGTGTACAAATATTAGTTACTAGAAACTGATTATCTTCTAATGAGATTCTTCTAAGTATTTCATAGTCCATCTTACAAAAGCCATTGCATACATGTGCAAATAAATGGAAATAACAGAATATTGCAAAGTTTTATCTGTAATCTGATACAATTTTAAAAAACAGCTTATAATGAAGAAAATAATCTTAAAATAATCATTTTCAGTCAATCAATTGTACCTAATAAAAAATAAGAGAATGAGGTCTAAGTTTGCAGAAGAAAATACCACTTAAGAAGTACTTTTCATATATGCTTTTAGCTAGTAAGAGGCAAGCTGCTTGCAATAATGTGGCAAGCCTGCCTCTTGATGACAGCTTTGTGACCTCCTCTCTGTTAAAAGGAACAAACAACATACTTTTTTGATTCAATTTTTCCAAAACTTGGACATTAAGAACTGTATTAATTTTGTGTTTGAAGTATAACACACTAGAAAAAAATCCCAAACAGAAACAATCCAACTTACTTTTAGCATCCCACAAAATATCTTGTTCTGGAGGAGCAGCAAACAGAATGTAAAGGCGTAGGGTGTCAATGCCATACTCCTTCACTAATTCTTCAGGGTCTATTCCATTGTGCTTAGATTTACTCATTTTTTCCCACGCGACTTGGAGCCTCTCACCAGTTTTTAAGTGAACTGGTTCAGTTCCTAAATATTAAGACATACGCAAAATATTAAAACAATTTTTGCTCATTTGTGACAGCACTTAATTTTGTTCCCTGAGCACATGAAAAACAACTATTTCTAGTGGGGTTTTTAGGTTTCTGAACAGCTTAAAGAGGAAAAATGCCCATTGTAAACACCCTCTTCCCTCCCAAGTTTTTCCTACTTCAATGTTTTAACACAAGTAATATCCTGATGCTTCCATTACATCATGACAGAAGGTCTCCTTCTACCATTCGGAAGCTGTATCTGGCACTCATCTATGTGCTACCTTGAAAGTCCCTGAGATTTAAGCATTGTTATAATCATGACACTTAAAACCTTCTAGATAGGTGTATTGACTTGCTACAATTCTGGCCTGTGCTTAGCTTTTACAAACACCAGATTTATAGGTTTCAATAAGTAAGTCATTCTGACAAGAACGCGCCTTCTGTTGCATGAATTTAGAGATGGAAAGGGGCATTTACACTGATAAAGGTGCAACTGAGCAAAACCACCTGCTACAGAAGCACCCTAGCTTTTCTGGAAGAAAACAGGATAGCAGACAGTGGTAAACATAAGAGGATTGGTTGGCTGGTTTGTTTTTTAACTGACTTACGGGGTTTGTATGCAGGAGAAAAAACAGTGAAAACAAGGTTGCACGAGAGGAGTGCTTAAGGGAGGCAAATATGATCAAACCAGTCTTGTTGCTACAGCTCCTCAAGCCAGAACTTGCTGCTCCAGCTTATGCAGTGAAAGCATTGGACAGAACTTGAGAAACAGCGCTTTTTCCTATAGATGCTTTACATTCCTCATACCTACTGAATACACCAACACCTGTGTTAGCTTAACCATGATGTTTTCGTAGGTTGTCTGTTTGCTGGGACTACTAGCTCCATTCAGCAAGCTGCCAAGCAGTGCCTTCACAAAACTGACTTCTGATCTTTTGGACTATGCTGGAGCCAAAATAATACCATAGCACTGTTTCTGTGTTTGGACACAATTAAAAGCTGCTGGATTAGTAGGGTCTCTGTGCACTCAACAGTGCATATGAATCCAAAACTTACATAAGTCGTTCTCCAGTTTAAATATGACAAGGATTAATTTTCTCTTCCAAATTTTCCCAGCACTGCGACTTGCACACCAAAGCAGGCCCTGACTTTCTGGATGCACCTATGTTGATTTTGCCATGCAGGCTCTCTTACCAGTGAGATCAACCTCCTCCCTCTTCAAACACTGGCCTGTTGTTGTTAGTCTGAATGTCTGATTCTTGATAAGACCTTGAACCAAGAGCTTATGGAAAGGCTCCCTAGGGATGGAAGGAAAAAGAAGCTTGTTTGTTGAAAAGAGTAATCAAAAGCATACTTTGTGATAAGCCTGAGGTGTTGAGCAAATCACGCACAATTATTTAATGAAACAAGAATTTCAAGTCGACTATACATAAATGATTGTCACCTTAGACAGAGTACTTTGTGCATTTATTCATGGTGGCTGGCTGGCAAATTTAAGTATTTATTTGTATTCTGCACACATTCTTGCATCCTGATTCAGTATTCAGTTATTCTAATGTCACTTTTCAAATTAGCATATGGATAATACACCAACGTTTCTTGGCCAACAGTGCAATTTCACTAACTTCAAGCTAAATCCCCATGTATACAAGTGTTCAAGTACCTGGCATCACTGTCTTACAAATATTTAGCGCTAGCTTCTCTCTGAGGAGTACAGTATTTGAACAAATCAAAATCCCACTGCGCATTTCTTTCTGTCAACGGAGATAATAGTTTCTACAACATAAGCACTTGCATGCCTTGTCCCTTTGTAGAACTAGCCATGAAGACCTAGCTGTACGAAAAAAGTACACCAGAAAAATGGCAATGCTGGAAAGTTCATATATCAGTTTGGACACTGACAAGGATCACTTTTTTTAGCATCTTGAACACTAAAACTTTACTTTTCTAGCAAAATTTACATCAGGAAGAGTAAACTCTCATCTCAGATGAGTGCACTCAGCAAGAAATAAACTCTAAGTAAAACACTACTCTGGTTGACAGATACGTTATTGTGGCCACCTCCTTTAATGATCTTGCACTTCTCATTCATTGAGTCAGATGTCTGTCATGGTTTACACCGAAAAAAGACAACAAAATTAATCTCCAGAGGTTTTGGTCCCCACTCAATAGGCCAGGAAAGTAAGGCAGTCCTAAAAACAACCCCAAGAACAGAAAGGGCCAGGCAGGAGGTATGAAGCCAGACCCAGAAGGCATATACAGTCTGGGAAGTCTTCTCATGGGATCCTCCAACACAAAGTCATTGGTGACCATCATTTTGGAGGACGTGCTAATCAGCGCTGGTTACTACTGAATTGCATCTCCTAATGCTCACGTGTGTGCTCAACATTATGCAGTCTGAATCCTCCACACTTTCACCTAACAAAGCTCCACATATCTACCAAAACAACTTATGTAAAAATGATGCACTACTCATATTTTCATTTTTATCAAAAAGCTAGAATAAATCCATCTAAAGAAGAAATACTAAAACCAGACTTCCCCATTTTACTTCACATGTACAAAAAATACTTTCAAGGAGTTAATTTAGTATTTTACATTAGGAAATATAAATTATATGACAATTTATCTTATTATTTAAAACAGTAATTTGTTTAATAACATAGTTAAAGCATTATTAAATTATATAACAATTATATTTTAACTGTATTTAAAACAGATATCATCCAAGTACTAGTCTTTGAACGCTTTTGATGACTCTGAAGTAAGGAGACATTTGAAAGAAAAGCCTAAAACTGGGAGAGAAAAAGTGACAGGCTTCATACTTTATCTTCAACATATTTATGTTTGAACACGAGTTTCCTTCCTTGCATATTTTGTATACTTCTAGATATTGTGCAAATACTGGCACATAATGGTGTATCATTCAGTCACCAAGCAGCAGTAGTCTCTACCATGCCACCTGGTTTTATCAACAACCTTAAGTAAGAGGAGCAATTGAAGCATCTCTATAAATATTTTCTAGACAATATTTCACAGATCACCTGAAAAATCCTGTTGTTTAGACATAAAGGAATTTAAGGAGATGAGAACTGAAGTCTAATTTAGACAGTACAAGAAACCGTATTTTAAGAATAAGAGACCATAATTATCTAAAAATCTCAAATAATTATCTTGAATTATCCAAGTGAATTAGAAGATGAAAATTGGGAACAAACCCCTTGTAATCCTGTCATCAACAAACGGTGGAAAAACACTTCAGAAGATAACTGTTCAGGGTAAGTTTCTTCTACAAACTAAAGACATTACACCAAGGAAAAAGAAGAAGAATTTTTCTCCCTATCATTCAGTACTTCAGTCTAAGATCTCAAACAGTTATTAAAAGAGCTACACTTGCTGCTATCTAAAATAAAAGCTAATGAGGTAGCCAGAACATCCAAATCAGATAGGGCTCTCCACTGGAAGTGATTTTTCAAGGAACACTTATTTTTAATGACAAGGAACAAGTTCAGATCATACGCCAAGTTATTAAGAGCTGAATGCAGGAATGAGCGTTTCCTATTTTTGTTTGTGCTGACAGAAACTACAAAAATGCAATACAAAATACATTACCAAGTATGGGGAAAAAAACCCATGCTTTCCTAGTGGGAGACCGCAGCAGAATGGAGACATGCCCAAAACAAGAAAACCAGAGCCTGTCTAATAAACACAGAGCTCAGAATAAATTGAGCCCTGCACTGAACTTCTCCTATGTGCAGTGATTTTGCCAGTGTTGTGGTGGCTCCATCGCATGGCCACATGTAAAGTTACACTTCCATTTACATTAATAAAACCACACACCTAAAACCTTCCCTTTCGAAGAGAGCGTTTCTTGGCTGCGGAAGGGGACTGCCAAGACGCCGCAGCACATCGCGTGCGATGCAGTTCCAATCTAAACACTGCAGCACCCGCTCATGGCCCGGCGTCATAAATACCTCCTGAGCCACACTGCCAGGAACAACTGAAACTGAGCCACGTTCGGACAGACGGACATTTCTGGCACAGTGAGTGAAGAGGTGGCTTGAGTTTCTTTGAATGCTCCATCACCTTTCGAGTTGTCAGGATCCTGGAACAGGACACACCTTCACCTGCCCGTAAGTCGGTTTGTGCCCACACTGGAATATAAGCACTGTGGCCTTAGTTGTGTGCAGCTTTTTGTCATGTTGTATGTAACATCAGATGGGACGCCCACTTGTGCAGTCTGCCTGACCTGCAAGAAGGACGAGCTGTGCTAGACATGAGGTGTGTAATCCATTATTTTCCTTTCAGTAATGTTCATATACAGGTTTCATTTCTATGATAGACCGATCTCTCTATATAGGAGCACGCAATGGATGGAGGGGCAAGTGGGACTGACAGATCAGGACCTCCTGCTCAGTGCCATGTGCTCAGGCTCCTTGCTCTGCTCCATGCGAGGTGACTAGCGAGACTTTCAATCCAATTACAAATGACCTGGCTGGAAGGACTCTGTGGAGCCTTCAACAGCGATAAACAGTGGACTCAGAGAAGGGCTATCTCTAGCAAGGGAGCTCACTGCATGTATTTGCAGCCCACACTTCCAGAAAGGCTCAGGGAGCTCGATGCTATGCCCTAGAGTCAACACAAGACCAGGGTCACTCACTGTCAACTGAATTCAGGTGCTTGTGGAACCTGCAGTTAGACCTATCTGTAACCATCTGGCAATCCTGTAGGAGGTCAGAAGTGATCAGGGGATGTGGGAGCTGATAATTATAGGCAGAAACAATATCGAACGATCAGATTTTACATACTCAATAGCTAAGTGCTTTTACTTAAAATTGTCAGTAGCGATAAAGTCCCTAATGAACACAGAGAAGCTCTAACATCCTTCCTTTACAGAAAAAGCTATTTCTGTGACACACGTATCTTCTGTTCTCTAATGCAGCTATGTAAAAATAGTGCCTTCCTACTCAACAGAATTTGCCCTCTATCACAGTCAAATCTGCTGACTTAACAGCAACAATAAACTTTTTTATGGCTTTATAATCCTTCAGAGAGAGCATGCTAGATTCCATTTACAATTATTCATCAGACAGAACTGATTACTAAAGTCTAGGGAAGAGTCAAATTCTGTGTAACTTGTACTCGTGATAATACAGTTGAGCAGGTGTAACCAAGTGTGTCAGCACACGCTCACCACAGTGGATTAAGCTGGAATGGATGAGGAGGCTGCTGGCCCCAGCTGCCTACCTGGCCAGTCTCCCAGCAGTGGTCACAGCTGGGAGGGCTGACTGGCATGTGAAAATTAATTCCAGAATCGACACACTTTCCAGGCCAGATTGCTAGAACAAAATGACATCAATTTGGGCTTAATCTGTTGTCACATGTACCAATACCCAGAGGGTGCTACTTATTCTGCCTTGTCATTACTGAGGAAAACAGCAGCACTCCCCCCCACTTCCAGTTCAATGCATTAAATAAAAATAAAATAAAAGATCATGCCCCATCTTCAGAGGATATCTAAACTATCTTGACACCTTTACAAATCTAGATGCCTAAAAACATTGCATTTTCTATGAAAGCACGTGTGACATCTGTAAATGAGTGGCCTATGATGTTTCTATTGTAATAACGTACATCACATTTGAAGAGATTGCTTTGAAAATCTAAACTATGACATTTTAAACTTTTGTTTTCAACCTCATTATTATATTAATAGCCACAAGTACAGAATTAAAGACTATCAGAAAATATTTCAATGGATTTGAAATGAATTGCCTACAAGAAAGATGGGGAGAGGCTGTTCAGGAGGGCCAGTTGTGATAGGACAAGGGGTAACGGTTTTAAAATAGAGGGAGGTAGGTTCAGGTTGGATATTAGGAAAAAATTTTTTACCATGAGAGTGGTAGAACACTGGAACAGGTTGCCCAGAGAGGTGGTGGATGCTCCATCCCTGCAGACGTTCAAGGCCAGGTTGGACGAGGCCCTGAGCAACCTGATCTAGTTGGAGATATCCCTGTTCCTTGCAGGGGGGTTGGACTAGATGACCTTTGAAGGTCCCTTCCAGCCCTAACTATTATTCTATGATTCTATGATTTGAAGGTCAGAGGATAGGAGCTAAACAATGACAATTTCTATGAAGAAAACCTATCAAAATGAAAAACTACTACAGATTAATAGGGGAATCAAAAATTTGTCAGGATACTAGATAACACTTTAAATGGTGGCAGCTCTCATTAACTCAGATGTAGCAGAATTTTACTAATTTAATCAGTGAACAAACCTGAGCTACTAGAGAAAGACTGAAAATGCACAAGAGGGCAGTGTTTTTTAACATTTTAATGTTTTGCCTCAGAGCTGTGGGCTTCAACACCATGGCTTTAAGCTTCCTAACAACAAACTGGTTGTTTCTAATCACCCTTTGCAGATCTCTCAGACCAGCCCTTAAGCAGTCCTAACGGAAGACTGAGCAAAAGTGGCTTCTCACCAATGCTAAAACATATCTAAGATACATGGTAATGTTTATAAAGGAGTTAAGATTTCCACATCAAAACAAAATCCTAATTTGACTTCATGGCTTAAAAGCACATAATGCTTTAAGTCTGTAGAGCTAAAGCAAGCAAACAATTTTGTGTGTGATGATGAGTTTGCTACAGTCATCTTATACTCGGCACTTGCCAAGGGTGCACTTTTTTGCACCGCTCAGGTTGTTGATGAAGATGTTAAATACAATTGGCCTCAGCAGTGACCCCTGAGGAACACCACTTGCAAACAGCTGCAAGTCAGACTTTGAACATTGACCCTTTGACCCTGATGGTCCAGACAGTTGTTCCATCTATGCTGTAATCCACCTATTCAGTTTGTATCTTCCCAGTCAGACTACAAGAACAGCATGAGAGAACTTGTTAAAAGCCTTGCTAAAGTCATAGTAAAAGACATGCACAGCACTTTCTCATCCACAGAGGGAATCATCTCACCATAGAAGGAAGGCAGATTAAGTTGGGCATGATTTCCTCTTGGTAAATCCATGGGGTTTACTCCCAGTCACCTTGTCTTTCCTGTGCCTGAAAATTACTTCCAGGGTGATTTGCTTTAAAATATTCTTGGGGATGAATGTGAGGATGACTGGCCTGTAAGTACTTTGGATTGTCCTTCTTGCCTGTTCCTGAAGATGAGTTTTGCATCTGCCTTTCTTCAGTCAACAGGGACATTCCCTGATGACAATGACCTTTCAAAAAAAAATAGACAGCAGCCTCACAATGGTAAAGGCCAGCTCCTTCACCAGCCTTGGATACATCCCATTTGGTCCCATGGACTTGTACATGTCTGGTTTACGTAAGTGATCCTTAACTCAATCCTACTCTGCAGCGGGTAGTACCCCTCTCCTCCAAACTCTCCTACTAAGCACAGACCTTGATGACAAAAGCCAAGATAAAGATTAGTTTTTGTTACTAGGGTCTGTGTCTGATTTTGTATCAGGTCAACAGTTTCCTTGATGTTCCTGTCAATATATCTGCAGAAGCCGTTCTTACTGCCTTCACATCCTTCACCAGTTTCAACTCCAGATAAGCTTTGGCCTTTTCTAATTCCACCCTGCCTACCCAGTTAATGCTTCCACATTCTTCCAGGGTAGACCATCCTCACTTCCGCTTTCCATGCACCTCTTTTAGTGCTTGAGCTCATTCAGGAGGTCCTTTTTCAGCCAAGCTGCCTTCTTTCCATGTCTCCTCATTTTCTTGAGCACCCGAATGGACTGCTTACTTTGCAAGCAAACCTCCCTTTCCTCCTGTTCTCAGTTCACAGTGACAATATTTCAGCCATCATAGTTAATGTTTTTTTGAGAGGTGGAAGAATTTGATGAGCAAAAGAACATTTTACTGTTGTGTGTTACAGCTCCACTAGATGGCTGTTAGATTAGGATCGTAAAGTCTTTTGTAGAACTGATAAGCCTGAAATTGCTTGCCAGGAAAAGCTCTGAAATTCTCTGCTTAAAGAAATAGTGCCTATGACAGAAAGGATCTGCTTTGAAAGGCTCACTCCCTCAGAGAAGGGACAGCCTTCCTGCTGCAGCTGTGCAAGCAGGAGACAAGAAGCGTGAAACACAGGTGCGGAAATCATCCACATCCAGAATCTCAGACATAGCTTTCACTGCAAACCATTTTGCAGGCCAGAATAAGTGATGAAAACACACCACCTGTTTTCATCACATGATTATGAAACAACTCAGGGAAATATTCTGCTGGCTCCACTAACTAGTCCATCTTTTTCCGGTGCACAGCTACTTAAGTTCTAGTTTTGTAGTAAAGCTGCTGCATGCAAGCGAGTTCAGTGCCATGTATATGTAGGTTCCTCTTTTACATCAAGTTTTTAGAGTGGATAACTAGTAAAGAATGAACACATACAAGTTGCCAGCTGAGAAATTACTGAGCGGTCGTTCTCATGGGATCACTCATTTTGACTCAACCTATTCAAATGTCTCTGCTGATGGGAGAACTGGACAAAGCATGGGGCAGTATTTCACTATTCTGACACTAGTATCCTCCCTGTTGAGGCATTCCAAAAAGCATTCCTGTGATGGCATTTTAGTAAATTTTGGTTAAAAAAAGGGTAGAATTTCAGTAGAAATAGGGACATCAAGCTGGGAACCTGAGAGGACAAAGAATAGAACATCAGATGACTCACATTCTTGCCTCAAACTTTACCTCTAACCACAATAGAGGATAATGAATTAAGCTATAGCTGCATCAGCAGCAAGAGTAGTTAAAAGTAATTTATATAAAAGTCATTAAATAAATAAATTGACAGCAGATACATTTACTGCTTTTGCTTACCAAGAACTGCTCAGCTCCAATGCTGCAGTGAATTATAGGACTGCTCACTTTTCTACATATGCATGGTTCCACTGAAATGAATGGTGTTACTGTGCATGAAGTTACCTAATTTGAAATACTAGCACACTACTCAGAATGCCTGAAGTTAATAGTTTATGCAAGCTTTTGCAGGCTGAAAACCTACAGCAACATTTTATCACTTGCTCTGAGCCAATTAATGCTCACGTAATAAAAATGTTATGTATGTATGCATCTAGAAAATGCAACTGACTGTAAATAGTTAGCCATGACTGACAAGCAGGTAAATTCAGGCTTATTCAATGTAACATTCTATCATCATAACAATGTTCACTAGCACTCTTGCTAGTCAAAAGAAATATGCAGGATTTTTATAGAAATATGTAAGGCTTACTTGTGTTTTGTCATCTTTAGGTCATGGCAAAAATGGCTGAAAAACCTCGCATAGAATAAGTGCATAACTGCATGCTCCTTTCCTCCGATGTACAAATCCACAGGCATCCAGTAGTCTGCTAAGTCGCTATTAAAGGGCCTGAAAAAACACAATTATAGAAAAAATACAATGTGGAAAAGAAAAATCAGCTCTACTAAAATAGCTCATTATACTTGATTAGACAACACTATTTACTGAGAGCTATATGTGTGTAATAAAACTTTTATTTTGCTATCAGATCTATTTAATTTTTAATAACTGATATGCTTATTAAATTGTAGACAAAATTTGTTGGAGTGCAGATCTTTGAAGAGACTGCATGAAGAAAGCCCTGTGTAAATAAAGACTGGAGCTCAAAAGTTAGGCCTCAAGGGCAGAATGCCCTTGAAGTTAAGGATAAGAGAACTATGCTGTATGATAAGGGAGTAGTGTCTGCTTAGGGCAGAGCTTCGCTAGGCGGGTATCTGTTTGAAATAAGCTCTTAAACATGACAAGCATATGTATCATCCAATAATGGTGTAGAAAAGGTGTGGTCTCAGGATGACTGGCAAAAACTGTCTATATAAGCAATAAGAACTGCGCAATAAACGAGACTTCCTGCAGCTAACTCATATTGAGTCGTCTCAGTACTTCTACAAATCCCTTCTCCGCAAAAATTTTAATTGCCTCTGAAAAGCAGATCTACAGAAATATTATTTTAATCTAATTCAGAGAAACAACTAAGATTTAACATGTGACCTGAGAAAGTGATAAAAATAATTGCTTTCTCTTTAAATGATTTTTTTCATAAATACCCTGTGGCTAGCCTTTAAATTTTTTAGTATTTATCAAGTTTTACATACAAATATATTACAGTGAAAGACGAGACATGCCCACTCAAAACCAGTTGATTTTCTTTTAGTTGGAGGTTTGCACTGTTGCCATTAGGGGGCAATGAAACAGTTTACTATAAGGTTGCAAAGCATTTTCAAGAGTCAGAAGGGTCATTGTACTCCAACTGAAGGATGCTCTATGAATTTACAATAAATTTGTCATTTAGAGCATATTTACTATGTTGTAGGAGGTCAGCTGCATGGTTTCCTAGCATTGCTTACTGGTTCATTAAATATTGTTATGTCTTCTACAATTGACTCCTGCCTTCAAAATACCATTTGTATGTATGTTGTTCTTTAATGCTTTATGGCCCCGTTCAAGCAAATTTACTTGTTCTGTCAGCTTGTTTGATTATTCCATCTATAATTTTTGTAATAGCAACACTTTTTTATTCACAGATGAGCCCAGAAGCAAATCGTGGATCTACAATTCATCTCTTTAGCAGAACAAATCAAAACTAACTTGTTCACAGTGTTCTAAAATCAACAGAGTAATTCTCCCAAATTCTGTAAAACATGACTTATGGAAACAAAGGGTTTACGTATACCCAGCTTAGCTAAGAAAAATAAAATAAATAAATCAAATGGAGGTAGTGATCTAGTGCAGAAGTCTACAAAAATGTTATTTCAATATAAAATAGATTTAACTACACTAAGCTGTTACTTTGACAGCTGGATATTACATCTGACTATTTAACCTTCAACTTCTGGAAAAGTTCCTCTTGTCTATGCACAAAAAATATTTTAAAACTGTCACTGGAGAGGAAGTAGTTTGCATAACTTAATAATATTCATAATGAATTCACAGTATCACTAGAAAATATTTTAAATTAATGTGAAATAGAAGTGTTCAAAGAAGGTATTTCTTTAATTTAACTAAACTAGTGCTGCCAATATAAAAAAATAATATATATAATTGGCCCAGCTACACTAAATCACTTGGTATGTAGTATGTACCCAGACATTGCTCTGGACAACAAATAAATAAATAAATCCCCAAACAGCCCTACGTACCATCTCAATACCTAAAAAAATGCAACTTATCTTTCTCAGACTACACGGTAGAGCTGTTCCACTAATTCCTCTTTGGAAAAAAACAGTGCTATCAGCAGTGCTACTACAGGGAGACTACGAAGCAGAAAAACAGCTCAATAACTACATCTGTCTTCCCACACTCTCCATGCTGCAGCCACTAACACACAGCACGTGAAAAATATCCTTTCATTAATTACATATATAGCCAAAGCGCCAACACAGCAGGAGCGTGCTGCGATGCCACCTCACTTTAGGTCTGCGGACGAGGAAGTGGCAAGAGTTATGGGAATTCAACAGGAGAGAAATAAGAGTGCTTCTTGGCAGCTGGATGTTACACTGGACTATTCCTCTTCTTACCAGTGGAATAGCACTCTGTCCACCGGCTGAACAACTCAGTGTGTTCCCAGGGAGAGTACACTCCATGCAACTGAACTGCACTCTCTGAGAGCGCCCTGGTGGGCTGTCATTCTTGATGGCATCCTCCACTAAAAACTATTTTCAGCTCCTCAGCTGAACATTTCCCCTGTGCCCTGTCCCGTAACGCCCTTTCACACAAACTTCTGCCCCTTGCCCTGTGGCTCCTGTGCTTACACAGGTGTGTCTACACATCCTGCTCTTGTAGATCTCCTGGCACGAGAGCAACCAAATGCCGCATTTTTAGAGCAATTCCTAGTCCAGGCACTCAGGCCACAGCAATGGGCACAAAATCAGGGCAGCACAGGGGTTTACACCACCTTCCACAAAGGCCATTAGAAGGTAGAAGCACCAGAGTGTTTGGCCTCTTTCCTCTTCCTTCCTTCCCTCCTGTTCGGTGGGGCAGCCCCGTGCCTGCAGCCCTCACCTCTCCGTGTTGCCAGGGTCAGTGTACCTCAGGTAGTACCAAGCGGAATCAACAAATGTATCCATGGTATCAACTTCTCGCCGTGCTGCTGCCTTACACCTGAGCAAGAGAGACGGACAAGAGCTATTTTTAGATAAGTGACAAGCTTGGAAAAAAACCCAACCATGTATAGTGTGGCCGCAGACATTCAGATTGTAAAACGAACGAGTCTGAGCAGTCTGAAGAGTGAGTGACACGTCCAGAAAAAGTCCAGCACTAGTAAGGGGGCTCTCCTTCCCTCTCCCTCCCAAACCAAAAGGAATAAAAAACAAAAAGAAGTCTGAACAGCTATAACACTAAGCGGTAGCAGAAGATAGCACTGCACCGGACAGCCCTTTCAATTGTTCCTGGAATTTTTAGAATTGCCATTTTAAAAGAAAAAAAAAAAAGAAAAAATCTTAAAGCACAGAGAAGTGTATTTGCCATAAAGTTAATTGGTATTGAATATATAGCATACTCGTTAGGTACCAGCAGACAAATCATTTTATAAATATTGTGCAGAAGGAGCAAGTGGTTCCCTCTCTGATTATCTGTACAAAAAGGTCTTTGCAGATTCCATTTATCATCTCCAGAAAAAAAATGAACTTAGTTTAATTTCAGCTTTCACTGAGATCTAGCAAATTTCTTCTAGACCTTGTAGCACAATTTCAGTTTGTGATTACAGCAAATCAATTTTTGCTTGGAGCCCTATTGGCAACGCTAAGAAACACTTAAAATAAATTTTAGAAGCTCAGGTTACTTTCTTCTAGTTTCTTCCTGAATATAAAGTATTTGTTTGTACAGCCCAATAACCACATTTAATAAACTTCCATCTGTTGTAAATGAACCCTCTTTAAAACTCTTAATGTTGAAGCAATGGGATTATTCTACTATAAATAAAACTTTGCAACCTGTGACATACAAATATCACTGGCTATATGTAACAAATGTATACAATTTATAAATATATGGAAATTTAAATGTATGTATATGTGTAATAAACATACATAATAAACAGCACTGGCTATTAAATATTTTCCAGCTGCACATTTCGTCTGCGATCAAGCTTGACAACCGAGCTGCAACATGTATCTGCCTTTCTGCCTGATCCGTCAGCTTGGCTTGCCGAGGCATGTTTAGGAGAGCATCACCACTTAACATTTTCCTTCAATGTATCTCTGCTCCAGGTCCTTTCTAACCAGGAAGTTTTTCTTTCGATGGGAATAATGTAGATAATAAATTTCACTTCTAGCTGTTTTTAACATAGAATAACTATTTTATTAAATTGTACATATAAGCAGACACTTGGCCAATGTAAAATAATACTAATTATATTGAAATAGAATGGCTTTTCGGTCAAAAGCAAGAACACTTTACAGTCATTGAACCATAATTACATCTGCTTCATGCCTCTGATGTGGCCTGTATTCTAGACATGGCTCACTAAGACACAGATAGCATGAGCATCTTTCAAAATTTATACAACAGACAACACTGTAATCTCATTAGACGATCTTCAGACAACTAACACAATTACCTGGACTTGTATAACAATGAATAACTTGGGCATCTCCTCCCATTTAGGATTGCTTACATTATTGTCACTCAAATACTCTCTGACTTTTGAGAATTTTTTGTGTCTTACTATCCTTATTAATTCTAGATACTATATGCAACTAATAAAAAAACTATTACTGGAGAGAAGGGCTAAAGGAAGGACTCATGTAACTTCTCAAAGCAAGGAAAACCAAGGAAGGCTGCACACACAAAGGCAATAGTTCACAGGATAGCAGACATTAAAAAATAGCTCACTGTAGCAGACATATGTATGAGCAATACTGAATACAGCTGTCAAATACGTGAGAATTAAGCAGCCAAATAAACGTGACAATTACAAAAAAAAAGTTAATTTCAGCAAACTATCACATTTTAGTCTAAGAAACTAATCCTGCATGCCTTTATTTCTGACTAAACAAATGCCCTCGATTAACTTTTAGAAGTAGGGCAGACACAGTAACTATCCAGAAACCATAAGGATTTGCCACACATCAGAAGTATATTGTTGCCTGGTAGACAGCAAACATATTTTTGAATTAAAGTCAGGACGAAGCCAGGATTGCAGACAGTGACTTTCAGTCACATCAGGAAAAGTTTTCAGTTGAAATTAGTAATTGTAGACCAAGGCATTTCTGGGGATTTTACTAAACCTCTGGATCTTGTTTAGAAAGGCTTCCCTGCAAAAGTCACACTTTAAAACACACTACTACGTGTAATTTAAATAGACATATCTGAGAAGAAATTTTCTATGCAGAAACATGGAAGCAAACGTGTGTTTTACATAAAATATATGTTATCAACGAAGGTCAAAATACCTTTTCGTAGAGAACCTCAGAACTGCTGTGCGCGAGCTACCTAATTAGAAATGAAAGCTACACTCATATTCTACCCTGCAAATGTTAAAATACAGTGAGATGTTATGAAACTGCTGCATTATCAATGAGAGCCCTAATGCCATTTATTCCCTGCCTGGCAGCCTGATAATGTACTCCCTATTTGGCCAGTCTGTTAGCAGCAGCATTGTCTCACACTGCTGATGAAAAACTTGCCTGGGACAACTGATGTTCTACCAGTTCTTCTACAGAACCTGTATGCAAACTCCGGTGTACAGAGTATCATCTAAGCAGCCCTCAAGACTAGACAACCGATTTTCATGATGTATCTCCCACTACTTAATTTAGGCTGTTTTATTTCTTAAACAGCTGGACTACAAACAATAGATTACAAGACTGACAAGATGCATACAATTACTATCACCTTCAATCTTAATTACATGCTCTCATCTCTAGTATGCAAGTGAATGTGATTCTTCATGATAAAGAGTTACATAGCTGAAGAAACACTTTATTGTTGGACTATTGCTAATAAAATGAACATGATGTTAGTTTCCTTAACAAAAGGAAATAATTCAATAATCATTAGAAGCTTTATATGAACTCTGCTGGTGAAAGATAATGAAAACTCTTGTAGTAAATTAAGTGAGAATTACTGTTAAAAAAAGAGAGCGGGGCAGGGCGAAAATCATTCTCTTTTCCCTTTTTTCTTTCCTCCAACTTAAAAACAATGATCTTTGCTTCAGCTTGTTTACGAAGAAGTTGCAGTGGTTGTTTATGTTGCAAAAAAGGGAGTTTTATGGAGTATATAAGAAAAAAAACCCTGTGCTGGGTCAGACTAAATATCATTCTGGAGTAGTATCCTGCCTAGATAGACAGTAGACTGACAGTAGAGCTGTCGGTTGTCAATGCTTACGGAAAGAGCACAAGAAACAGGCAAGTAGAACGCTATCTCTCAGTCTGTGGTAAATACAACATTGGCTTACCTCGGACAGGAACAGTTCACCCATTCTGGAGCAGTTTCTAAAGGTGAGGCTCCCTTTCCTGTGAAGGTGGTTACACTGGGCAACACCACAGGTAAGTCTTCATAAGGTACGGGGACAGTGCCACATGTCTGGCAGTGAATGACAGGAATAGGTGTTCCCCAGTACCGCTGTCGAGATATTAACCAGTCTCTTAATTTGTCACTCGTTAGGTCTCCACCTATTCCTTTATTTTTTGCCTGCTGGGTAATAGCTTTTAAAGCCTCCTGCCGAGTCATGCCTGTGATCTGATTAAGAAAGAGAAAAGCAGAAGAAGAAAGAAAAATACGTATTTGCTGTTGGTGAAAATGCAAGAACAGACAAAAAAGTCACAAATGCAATTTCTGAGAGTCAAAGTTTATAAGCCTCATATTAATGTTCCCCTTCCTGCTGCTTAATATCCTTCTATCCAAAAGACTATTCACATATCAGTCACTTGATTCATTTAAACTCTCTTAATCAAAGAGTACTGTTCTTGATGGCCTCAATAGAATAAGGCTGAGAAAGACCCCCGTAGACCACTTCAGCCTTTATTGGCAGATATTTGCATTTACCGTCGATATTTTAATAAACTGTTACACTGAAACTTCCAGAATATCACGAACACAATGTAGAGACTGAGAAATGTGGATGGTGAAACAGCTTTCTTTCTCCTGCATTCATTTGAGGTTCTTCTATTGCTTTCAGATACATCTTAAACACTTAGACCCTACCTGTCACATAACAGAATATGAGCTTTGTGTCTGCTATCAAATGCTTTTTTTCAAGAGCTACAACACCATATATATTTTATATTCAAATGTAAGATTTCTATATCACTTCAGGTATATTACCAGAAAGGCTTACACAACATTTCAATGTCTATGTAGAAAAAGGACTAACATATTAATATTTAGCTTAAAAATGTATTGAGATGATGAACTAAGAATCAACTTTTAACATAGGATCAAATATTCAGTTTCCATTATAAAACTCAGACCAATACTGTAGCTTCTTCTCCTGTACAAAAGGAAAAAAAAAATCATTTTATTGCTACAGAAGAGCCAACATATTTCATCATTAAATTATTCCTAGAAATTTGGTAGCATAAGCCTGGCTTGATTCTTAAAAAGAAAAAAAGCCTTTAAACATACAAATTATTTGGCACTCTCGAGAAAACAGATTTAGTTTGCATTGTTATTGTAAGTTGGAAAGAACTCCATGCTTGTACACCCACCTCTCCAGAATTAATGACTTTCTCCAAACCATTTGGCAATGTTTCCATGACTTCAGTGAAAGAAATGCCCAGATTCTTAGCTACTGCAGCATCTTCTGCACTTGTGCTAGGTATTCCTAGGTGACGGGGGAAGTAAAAAAAAAAAAATTAGTTCTGGGATCGACTAACAGGGATATAAATCACCAATTTGAGGATAAAACATTTTACTTCTATGACATCCTCTTTCTAATTCCTTATGTTTACCCAAAGGAGCTTAAAAATCTAAGAACAATAAAAATGTTTTTATGTTCTTTAAGCAGTGAAATGCAAGCAGCAATAATCACAAACATTTTCTCAGTTTCTCTTCAATCCAAGTATTAATTGATGTCCCACCACAGAAAAGGCTGAAAATTAGATGGTTCAGAAAAAGCCTAAAAGTAAAGCTATAAAATTTGGATAAATAATAAATTTTTCAATACAATTATATTATCTAAATATAATAAATTTAAATAACATAGATTTAAATTTTACTTGCGAATATGAGAAACAAATCCAAACAAACAGCCTAAATACTCCTCTTGTTTCAATAGTGAATTTAATCTCTTTCTAATTTCATAGTTTATTAAAATGTACACAACACAACAGTCTCTAACATTACTATCCCTTTAACATGAAAGACATGATTTGTTTATAATCTCAGGAAAACAATTCAAATAATGCCAGTTTTCTATTCGGAATATAACTACTGAGAGCACTTCCTACTGCTGTTGAGTCAGTTATAGAAGTCACAGCATTTAAGGCCCCTGATGCTGTCTTGCCCTTTGCATCTTATTATTTGGGTCAGTCACAGATCTTGAATATGAGTTTCTCTTCTAAGCCACACAGACTTCTTTTTATTATAGCAATTTACCAGCACCATAAAATGACACATTAAATATTTCTTACTCATATTGATAGATGATGACATCTTCCCCCTGATTTTGCTGCATTTATTTTGAAAGCTACTTTGTTCTACTTTGGAGGACTACCTTTCAGGGTGAGTTAAGAAATTTCTTAACTTTGTTATTATGTGTATTCTGAAATAACATCGAAATACTAACAGACTTATTTCCACAGGGAGATACAACTTTCTGGATATTTTTTTCCTTTCAGTGATAATTTATTTAGTATTTTGAACAATCTTGCACAATTGCTGTCATCACAGGCTGAGAGAGTTGGGGCTGTTCAGCCTGGAGAAGGCTCCAGGGGGATCTTACAGCAGCCTTCCAGTACTTGAAGGGGGAAAGCTGGAGAGGGACTTACTTCCCTTACTACAGGAAAGCTGGAGAGGGACTTTTTACAAGGGTATGTAGTGATAAGACAAGGGGCAATGGCTTTAAACAGAAAGAAGGTAGATTTAGATTGGATATAAGAAAGAAATTTTTCACTCTGAGGGTGGTGAGGCACTGGAACAGGTTGCCCAGATAAGTTGTAGATGCCCCATCCCTGGAAGTGTTCAAGGCCAGGTTGGATGAGGCTTTGGGCAACCTGGTCTAGGGGAAGGTGTCCCTGCCCATGGCAGGGGGGTTGGAACTAGATGATCTTTGAGGTCTCTTCCAACCCAAACCATTCTATGATTCTATGATCTTTAAAAGGCAAAGAAACTTATTCCAACAAGCCAACACCAACATTAGGTTGGTGAAAACTGCAAACAAAACCTCTAGAATATTGCTGAGTACATTGGAATTATTAACATACAAACTACTTAATTCAAAACCACTTTAACAATCATCTTTGTTCAGGCAATGAAATGTCTACTGTACATTAATTCTGTCAATACATGGAAGTTTGGAAGCAGATAACTAAGGAAAAGCAAGTAAAACTGCACTGTGACAAATAACCTCATAAGTAGCAAAATACAGAGTCGCTGTTTTATCTTTCCAGCAGACATAGGCTTTTGCCATTTCAAGGCCCTGTTATAGGATAATGTATGTATCTTAATTTGTCAGCCCTGCAGCCTGCAACAGGTGGCTTCGCAATATGTTCTACAAATGGGAAAGAAGTGGGCTCCACTTTTTGGTCTTCATTCTTTCAAAAAGATGATGCTATTAATGTACATCAACAGCTGGCATCCAGAACTTCCCAGGGAGAGTTGGGCTGTTTCCAACAGACATAAGGCCAAGGTACATGCCAGTGAGAAAGCTGGAAGCTTTTAATGAAAAATATTATTAGGTATCTCAATTATTTGGCTTCTCTTACATGAGCAGAGGTTCTGGTTCTCAAAAATAGATTTGTTCCTAAAGTGTAAGATGCAAGCATGTTTTAAGTAAGGTATAGAGCCCAACTGAACAATTTCTATCAGCCTTGTGAGGGTCATCCAAGATATTTTTGCAGTGTCAGCTGGTTTTATTCAGTTCAGTTGTTGTGCTGGAACAGTCAACATTGGCAGTGGGGTAGAGAAGACAGAATGAACTTCAGGGCAGGAAAGAAGTATTAACAACAGAGAGGTAACAAAGGGACTGAAGGGATAAGGATGTAGTGGAAAGGATGAAGAAGAGAACTATTTTCTCTTAGGACTGGCACAGAACATTGCCTGCTCATTGCAGTTGACATGGAACCACAGCAAAACACAACAGTCAACAGAAAGGTTGATGGGATGTCACTGAGAAAGATACACTCTGCAGATTAAAATGGACATAATTTTTAAAAGTTAGTACAATTTCCAATTTCCCTTAGGACAGTCACATCATCTAACTGTATGTACTTCACTGCCCAAGTTGAGGGGCTAGGCTCCCTATGCAGGAAAAGAGGAAGACAAGGTGCTTCATAGGATGACTTTGAGAAGAGAAGCCCACTCCAGATGATTCAGAGTACCCTCTAGTAATATCCTTCCACTCCGTTTATGTATGCTCAATTCTAAATTAGGCGTCTAAATTATGGAAACACTTTCTTTAGAGATAAAGGGTCCAAGATAACTGCCCAAGACTACCTGAACAGATTTATTACCTATTCCAATTTATTTTACTGATCTCAAGACACATATTATCAGATAAAAGTCAAACTTGGAAGTTTCATACATTTACTGTCTGAAACGTTTCTCCATATGGATGCACATAATTTATGTAAACATAAGACAAAAAACTAGCTAAAAGTTTGGGTTGTTTGCAAAATGTTTATGTCAAACAATGGTACAGTCCTGTTTTGATTAAGGATGATGAGAGACAGCCAAATACACATGTACTGTAGGTAATCAATTCTCTTAAGATAAGCAGATCCTCAAATTTAGCTCATTAAATGTACTAATTTTATTATATTTCCATTAAAATTTATTATCCTGTACATCCCTCCCCCAGACACATTCCACATAGTTACTCCTCCCTTCTTTTTTCACTAATGAAGAACAGTAATGAAGAACAGGATTCCAAATTCCAGGAGAGAGCCACCGTGTTCAAAGATTTGCTGCAACAGTATCCAGTGCTCCAACACATTCACTTACATATTAAATGTCACATACCTATTTTAGTATCGAGAAAATTCTCAAAATTGTTTTTCGCTGAGATGACTACAGGAATCTCCTGATTGGTAAGCAAATTCACAGCTGTCACTGAAGTAAGCGAGTCTGAAAACAAATGTAATGATCACAGTAAGTAAAATATGACAGAATATATGCTAAGAACATGACTTACTATTAAAACTCAGTTTATCTTAAACATGTGTAAAATTTAAATTAGAATTTTGTTTAAATAAGAAAGAAAATGAAAAGCCTAAACACATTTCTAAAGTCCAGATGTGTTAAAATCTTCAGTAAGTCTGATGGATTAATTTTCATGATTAGAAAACATAACAAACACGTGAATAAAAAAGGAGTAAGATTTGGACTATAATTAAAAAAATTAGTGAGTCCTTTAGCATTATTTGTGTGCTGCAGGCTTGTTTGAATTAGCTCTAGAAAGCTCTGAATTATGTACTAGAAGACATTAAAAAAATTAAGCAAAAAAATCCAGTTATTCAGATGAGACTGAAGAGGAGCTTATATACTACACTTATGATTTGCTTTCTTACAGAAGAACTACAAAGCATGAGAAATATTAAGTGTAAAAAAAAGAAACCTAAATAACCAATTGATTTCCAGGCAGAACACTCATATTCATATTAGAGATGAGGAACCTAATGTCCATAGGGAAGGGGAGGGAGAAGAGGAAAGAATCAAGGGTGATAAACGGAAAAGTATTTACAATGAGTAGCTTTGGTGGCTCAACAAGAAGAAAATCAAACCTGAATACTCCCAAGTTCTGAGGATTCAAGCCTGACATCTCAATTTGGACCTGTTTCTAACTTTTTCAGTAGCTTTAAGTTGATGATAATTAAAGTAATTAAATAATTAAAAACACAGACTGCTAAGAGCTTCCTTTCCCCTATCTTCATAGCTAAGCTGAGGAAAGTTTCAGTCTTGTATTGCTATACATAAAATCTGCTTGAAATAAAATAACTGCATTTTAGAGAAGAGGGTTACTACACCGCATCCGTCTTGTTATTTCTGATTATTACTTTTTCAAATTTCAGGTCTCTCAGACACCCATGTTCTAGGTAAAATTTCTCACATTCAAACCACCACACACGTCTTTCCTCCTCTGTTTAAAATATGTACAAAAAGAATCATTTCACTCTTTAAAAGCATCTAAGCAAAAAGCCTCAAGAATAGGATGCTGAGCGGGTAGGATAGTCTGCCTTCAAAAATAACTTCTCTCTCCCACCCAACAATAATTTTGATTTTATGCTGGAACCCAAAGTAATAACTCCAGTTTATGAAAGCACACTTTCTTTTGCTCATTTGCTCACATCATTACTATAATAGCCATAAAGAGATGATATTACAGTTACAAATGTGAAAGAATGTATGTATAATATTATAATGAGATAATGAACAGCGTAAGGATCAAATCTTTACCTCAGATACCTCACACTGACAAAACTAGAAGACTTACCAGATTCTGAATTAACATAAATTTTGCTAGGCTAAAAAAAAGAATGTTTGAAAACTGGTTTCTCATCTCTATTTAAATAATAATAGCCTAAAATACAGAGCCGTACTCCAAGAGTAAAGGTATTAGAACTTTAAGTTACTTTGTCATATAATCTTTTTTTCCTCTCCTAGAAAAAAAAAAATATACCCTTCTATTTTTTTTAATGAGAACACAGTGAAGAGAAAGAAGTACCAGACTATGACTATCTCTGCTGAAAAGAAAAAATGTAAAATTTTAATGTTACTAGTGAATGTTTTAAACAAAATCTTGGTTAATGTGAAAATATGGTCTATCCAAGGCCATAAGAAATTTTAATGTTACTTAAATGCCACTGTTGGCCCTTTGTATGTACCATGGCTGAAATGCAAATCTGAAAGTCCATGTAGAAATTCTTCTCCTTTATTTTCTCTTCTTTGAAAAATACTAGTCTATGCCTTTGAAACGCTCAAGAAATAGAAAGAAACATCAGCCCGTTTCAACTGAAGAATGCATGTAAGCGTATTTACGAGTAGCAGGAGTACACAACAACAGCAGAGTTACAATTCTGGAACTGTGTCCACTTTAAAGCCTCATTTTCAAGGTCTTTTGGCTGTAATTATTCTGGATGAGATTTTCTTAATTTAGCCCAACTAAAAGGTGAAGTTTATTGTTAACAGACACCAAAAAAAAGCCTTTCAAGTATTTTCTCGTAAAAACAATATAAAAAAATATGTTGTAGTCCTATTAAAAACAAGTTTTGCACCTGTGTGGTTTGGCTTTAAGTACAAGATCCAACAAAGATACAGGCATGTACATGGATGCACATTTCTGGGGTTAGAGCTTTGATTCGGCTGAAGTGCAAGAGCTGCAAATTTCTTCCTTTGTTCCTTAATAAAAATTCTGCAAGCTTTGCTCAGCTCTGAGACAAAGGCTCTACATACCCAACACATTCAGGGTCCATTTTTTTCTGCTAGCAAGCAAACTTTATTGAGGTTATAGAAATGAAGCACTCAAAAATAAAGCAGGTTCTGTTCAACCATCACAATTTCCCACAAGATTCCTGCTTCATTGCTGTAGGCATCGGATGTTATATAGACAACGAAGCCACATGTTTACCAGAGATGAAAAGGTAAATATTGAACACCAGTCTGAAGTGGAAACAAAAAATATTCAGTATACTTTGTATGTAGTCTTATCATTTCCACGTTTTCCAAACAACAAAAAAATAGTAGGCCAGGGATGCTAAATAAAGGCAGAACTGGTGGTAGGAGCCTTGAGGAAACCAATCAACACCAGTTAAAGAATTACCTCTTATCTGTATCCTCTGGACAAGTCAGGACCTGCCATAGGGCTACTCTGAATTTACTCCAATAGAATCTTGTATTAACTAAGGATCTGCACAGCAGAGTATTGTTTTGCTACCTGTCAATGATCCACTTCGCTATGTATTAATATCTCTTGCCCTCTTTATGTTCCTTATGACGTGAAGAGATCATCATTAGTGTAAGAGTTGGTTCTGCTGTCTTTGTGCTAATGACAAATTACCATATAGACGTTGAGATTTTTCCAATGGGCTGACAGTCAGAGATGGACTATTCACTTCTGGTGTATGAGGAAAAGAGAATCTGTTTCATTGATTTATACACCATGAAGTTTCACAGCCATTATAAAAGGAAGAATTCTAACATAGCTACTGTTACTTTATCCAAAGCCAGGACAGGCTGATGTGGTACCGTTTGACATATACAAAGAATTGAAAGACCTTTTCCCTCTCAATGGGAACAGCTCATGCTCAGCTTGACAAATTCTCTGAAGATCCTTCTCTAAAATTCTTACTCTTCTACAACAGAATGCTGAAGGAGAAAAAAAGTCACCTTTCCCTGGGATGAATTCCCTCTGAAAGACCTCCTTGAGACTGCTATTCCCATGCAGCAGTCTGTGAGTCGGTAAGATACATAAATGGGAAGCTCCATAAATGGCTTCAGGCGTATAGGTGTAAGCTGCTACCTTCTCTTCTGTTACTTTGCCATTCACCTGAAAAAGAGCAGAATATGTCCCTGATTAATTCATTTTCTTCTCCATTGCAAGTGCAGTGGTTTTAGATTCCCCTTCCTTTTTATGCAACTAACAAATATACATCACCCTGTAGAAATACACAATTCTGAATATCAAAGCCATATGCATTCCCACTATAGGGAATTTTCAGAATCAAATCTTGACAAAATTTACTTTTAAGACCTTGAGAAAGTTGCTTTACAATCTTGCCTCAGTTTATCCAAGTATATATAAAAATATTTATTCTAAAATCGTCTGTAGTATTACACTGTGCTACTGAGATAGACCCAATCCCTGGTTAAGTAACCTGGAATCATTCTGTTCCATTTTAATATGCATGCTCTGTTTCCAAGAAACAGGAATGAGATATTATGCCTGAAATCTAAAAAGAATTTAAGATTTTCTCAGCTACCAGGCTTTCCACCACACTTCTCTGATGAAGTCAATGCTGCAACTTACATACAGGAGTAAAATAATAAAAGGTGGCACAATATTAAAACAATTGGACCTAAAATGGGACTAATGAACTCAAAAGACTGCTTAACAATTATCACCCAGCACTATCAACAGACTTTATAGGTCAATTAATTATGAAGTGTATGTGGGTCTTAGAGGAGATTTTTCTACAACAGGTATTGATACACATTTTCAAAAACAATGAACTTAAATACAAAACACACCTTCTAGCAGTGTTCAATTCAGAGGTATTAAGAAAGTTTAAGCTGTCTTAATTTGAGGTTCCCAAAAATTCAGTATTTTAAAATAAGAAGTCACTTTTAAAATGTTATACTAGGGTAAATGAGCACAATAAAGCTTGGAAGGCCAAGGGCTGAAATTCCATCAGGGTCTCTGAAAATCTCTTCTGTCACTATGATATTCAAAAAGCCTTTTACACCTCTTCAGAAGGACTTCAGATTTTACCATTTTTCTCTAGATAACTATAATTCTCTTAAGGTTTCTCTTTCTTTCCTCTCCTTTCTCTCTATCCAGACTTCCATCAGTACCTAAATGTCTGGTTTATTACATATAATAATTAAATAATGAAAATGAAATAATAGACAAACATCAACAAATTGGCTTTCCTGAGATCAGCTTGGGTCTGACAGAGAAGGTGCTGTGCAGAGCAGAGCTAAAGCCCAGCTAGATCCCAGCTGACTTTTGCAGAGTCACTTGACACTGTTCTTGGTACTGCTTCCCTAAACGTCCTGGCTCTCAGAAATGGTTATCGGCTGGCACTTATTTTGGCACAAATACACACAGCCAATTTGCATCCAATTTTGCAATAGAACACACAAACCCTTTCCTAAGGAGGGCAGCAGGGAGTCTCTTCAACCCACAAGTGGTATTCTTCAGGATCTGTCCTGGTCTGGGCAGGAACATATAATAATCTCTTTTAGGAGGTTTCAAGCTTTTTAGATCTGAATATCCATTCTCATCCTGCATTTCAGAGGTTATCGTCAGCCCAATCAAGATTGCAGTATTGAAGTTTCTGACTTACCTTCAGCAAGAAGTCAAGAGAGCATCCAACACAGTCACCTATCCAATTTGCTTGCATTTCTTTTATACCATACCACTCGGGGAGATCAGACAAAGCATCAGACATAGCCTGATAAAATAAAAGAAAGAATTAGAACATTCAGCTTTTGTAAGCATACGAATTAACATTATGAGTTTAATTATAACTAACAGCAAAATGATAAGGTGTCGGTAAAACACAGGAAGAGACGTTTTTTATACTGCGGCTGCCCCAAATTCATGTTTTTGAGAATAGAATTAACACGGCGCAAGCCAGAGGTATGATGTCTCCAACAGAGATCCTACTGTTATTAAAAGAGGCCTTCCTTTTGAATGGACTAAACCTTAAACACAAACCAAAACACTTAGATGAAAACAAACACAGAAAATACTCCCAATGGGTGTAAACTGTGGGAAGTGTAAGTGACTTAATGAAGTGAACAAGACTACTGACCCAAGAGATGTGCTTGCAGGTACAAAACCTGCATTTGGACTAGTTGTTCTAGACAATAGCCTGGAGATGGCAGCCAGACAAAAGACATTTACATGTCCTAAAATTTTCAAGCTCTGACTTAAAATGGCAAAACAGAGTTTGCAGTTGCCTAACTATTTTTCATGTTTCATATTGGCATTTTGCCTAGCACAACAGGCTGTAAAATTGAGTGGGATCTTTAGGTGATATCATTCTGTAAAAAAAAATATCATAAAACCAAATCATAATAATAAGGGTTCATATTAAATTCAAAAAATATAATTATATTATAATAATAATATAATAGCATAATATATTATGCAGCAGAGAAGAAATTAAGTTTTGGCTCCCTCATCAGCCATAATGTCCAACAGTCAACCTGTAACTTCTATGTAAAATTATATTCAGCAAGAGATATAGCTGTATATGTACTTTCTGATGTGGCATGGAAGCATGAAGTCAACTAATATTTTCCTAAACCATTTGAACAGTATGTTTTTATTAAAAGAAAGCTATAAAAAAGTAAAGGAGAAGATGTACAAAGGGATGAATAACTCTAAGCTCATCTCATTTTTCACTTCATAACACTTCACATTTGTGTTATGAATACTCCATGACTGTCCAAAATCTTTACTTTGGCAGAAGTACAGCCAGAGTCATGAGTCACTCGGACAGATGGTGGATATGCTGAACAATTACAGTTAAAATCTAAGAATAAGGTAACATGTTGAATAATTTTTCCTTCAGCTGTGACTCCCAACATCAAATGTGCAAGCTCTTTATTATCTCATTAATTGCTAACAACCTTCAAGGATGGACAGTAGCTTTTATGTGCTGCTCAAATTAAATAATGGGTAGTTAGATAGTTAGTAAACATACAACTCATTCTTTTTCAACTGTTGCACTTTAACTACATTCTTAAATATTTTCAGAGTAAGATGCATAAAAGACATTATAAAGATTACCTTCTAGTTACTGCTCTTGTATATCTATCATTCAAAATACACAACAAAGTGCATGTCCTTCATAAATATTATTACACCACCACTTGGCATTATTATTGCTTTCTACATCCTTATGAAACAAATTCATTTTCTGATGATTTATAAATAAAAGAATGGTAAGGTTTTGGAAGGGTTTTAATCATACTGTAACTTTAATCAGTTGTAGCTAACAATTGCAAGTATACTACAACACAGAGAATTCCAAATTCTCATTATTCTCATTAATTTTAGTGTTCCAGAAACTACTGAGATTTATCTGCCATGAATAATCCATGTACATATATATCTACCAAAGAATAACAAACAACTGGAGATCTATAGAGATATAGAGATATATATAGACAATACTTGGATACATTCTTTGTAAGAATTTTATGCATTTTAGAAAGAATGAAATTGTGTCAATACACAGAACTGGCTGGACTCATTAGCTGATTTTTATAAACTCTCTTGCTTGGATATCCATCCTAATCTACATCACATTTTGCTGGTAGAAGCAGCTAAATGTGCGTGTGCTCTACTGAGACTGTACAGTCTGTAATTGCTTGCCAGCAAAACTTTCTAGATGTTTTTTCACTGCAGGACTAATACATCAGGATCCTTAATACCAGTGTGATAATGATGTTAACTCTAGTTAGTTGGCCTTATTAGGAGCTATAGGCTACAGTTTGACTTAGCCCAATTCTTCTCTTGATAATGCAATTGCTTCATGCAGCTACAGTATAGAGCATAACAGTAAGAGTCAACTTGGCTTCACCTGAACCAGGATAACAAAACTTATTCTGCATTTCGCAAACACAAACCCTTCACATCTTAATATGCACATGAACAATAATATAGCATGACAAAAAAGCATCAACCAAAAAACTTTCATTTTCAAAACGAAATTCTGACTCTATTCTTTGCATTCAACACACTACTTTGGTTTCTTGTCAAGGCTACAAATAGCAAGTGAAGTAGAAAATGAACAACATGTAAAACAAACACTTTACATAGTGTTACAGAGGCAAAAAATACTCAGTATGTATACTGCTAGCATGTTGGTAAGTATTTCTGGATGGTAAATTAACCTAGGATACTAACAGGAAAGCAGAAAAGCACATTAATTCTTACATACATTAATGCATTGTACATTCAAAATTCATCCATGCAAATTAGGTTTTTAAAAATTGCTTAAGAGAAACCCTTTAAAAAACCTTTTTATTTCAAATCCAATTGCACTACACCCTGCAAAAACATAAATCTATAAATACATGTTAAAACTATTATTAATTTTAAAAAGTTATACATAGCCTGTTTAGGTAGATAAAACTCTTTAATTGAAGCTGACTCACACTAGTATAGAAATTCCTGAATATTATAAGCTAATGTATGAAAAGTTAAATATTTACTCCATTAATTTTGCTTCCATGTTCTTTTTTAACATCCCTGCCATGTTTGCGAAAACATTTTATGAGTCATTAAAATAGCCCCATGAGTTCTGCTCCAATTATTGTTTCGTCATTACTGACATGATTCATTAAACCAAAATTCTGACCCTTAAGGGCATGTACATAACTCCTAGCCATCTGTGCCACAAGTTTGTTAACCAGATAACACAGAAAAGACAATGAACAAGACGACACCCAGCACAAAGGCAAACAAACAAAAGTAAACCCATGTTGGATTCTGCAAGGGAGAAAGAAAAGCAGCATTATAATCCAGTAAGCAGAGTGACAAACTTATCAAATAAATTCCACTTTCAAATTTCTGATGATGACTTAATAGTGAGAAACTTGGAAACATTAGGTAGCAGAGTCTTTCTACTTGCGTTTTTCATGGCTCAGGAAGAGATGATAAAACTTAAAATGTAAACATCTCATTACAGGAGAAATTACTCCCATCTTAATTAAACACATATGGAGGTAAAGCATAAATATATTTTGGCAGTCTTTCAGATCTAAAGATAGACTCAGGAAAAGGCTGAAGAAATCAAAGCTACATTCAGGGATAAGAACAACTTCAAGGCTCTTACACTTTTAGGAAAGTTTGACTTAAGTGCAGGAGAAGTTGAAGACTCCTAATGTTTCACAGGGCTGCTTTACTCTTTCAGAACACATAGAAAATCCCAGCACAGCTAGAAAATGAAAGTCAACCAGTTCAGATGATCAGTGTCACAAAATCGAGATGAGTTTGCTGAAAATTCATCACACACAACAATGATCAAGTCTGAAACTAGAAGTAATGCATCTGAAAGTGGAAAACTGATCTCACATTCAGCCGTTTAGTCTGTTGAAGATTGACAGAGAAACAGAACTTCAGTTCAGCAATCTTCAGACAGAAAAAAGTACATAAAATCCAAGAACAAAAGTGCTTTATAATTTCACAGGAATATCTCAACTCCAAAAGTGCCTCTCCTGCTTGTAGTCCAAAGAGGGAAGATTCTGCTGAGCACCTAAAAAATTCAGTCTCTGAATTCAGGAACTAAAATTTTAAGCATGATCAATGCCTGTCACTAATTTTGTACTTAATGAGAGGATTTCAATTCCTCCATGACAGTAAATGAAATAAAGTGAAAAATTCAAATATAAGCTATAAAGCTAAATGTTTATCTTTTTAAATGAAGACACTTTAATGAAGTTTGACAAATTTGCAACATAACAAGCCTAAAATAAAAGGTCAGCAAAAGGTTTCATTTCAAAAGCATTTGATTAATTAGCAAAATAAAATTGTCTTCTACTAAATTAAAACAAAATTAAAATAAAAAACTTTGCTTCTGAGGAAGAGGCAAAGAAATATTAAAGATCTGTTTGGATTTAAAATGAAATTCTTCGCTTTATTTGATCAAGGTCCCAAAAGAGTAACCAAATACAAACTAAAGATTACACGAAATCATTTAATACAACTTAATATATTAACTGAAGTACAGGAAATTAAAGTTAGGCTGCCCACTGTTTTATTTCGCCTGCCACTGCATAGTTCCAACTGCGATTATGCAATACAGCTTCTGCTGGTATTTAATCTCTTCTTGGTTTTGTGGTTTTGTTTGTTTGTTTTATCTTCAGTACTTTCTGCTTGTACTGTCGTAGGTCACTCTTGACTCTTATTTCCCATGCATGAAGCACACTGAAAACATACACTAAAAAGGAGCAACAACAGAGATACTGTGTGCGCTTAAAATTCTTTCTTGTAAATGCCTGAACCATCAGTTTTTCCCTCCCTTCATCGTATAATTGTCAACAAACATCTCTGGTTTGACTATGTAGAACTGAGGCAAAGAAATGATGCCTCAAAAGTAAAAAGTAAAGCCAGCGTTCTCCCGATTTGCTCTCCAGAGTTGTTCTCATTGTAGCAATTGCCAAAGAGAAGATATTCCCTTTCCGATATAATGAAGCATGTCTTTGGGATAAATGAGTAACTGATTCCATAAATAAAAAAGCTCTTTAAAACGTGTTATCATTTTTAGTAGTACTGAGCACTCACTGTTTTGATTAATCTTATACCAACAGGAACTTAAATTCATAAATGCAGCACTCATTTGATGCTACAGCAATAAACTAAGGTGAAAAGATCATCCTGGTCTGGATATCCACAAACAATTTTCTGTCTTGCCAAGCTGACAAAACAGGTGTAATTCTTCTT